TTCAGATTTATGTGTGATATATTTTTTTTTAAAGGAATGATTAATGAACATCTTATTTTATTTTATTTTATCATTGGTTTAAGATTTCTCGATATAAAACAACACATCTAGTATCTATTATTTTTTTTAATGAAGTTGAATTATTAAGAAAAAACTGCTAGGCAACCAATGGTGAAAAAAACGGTTATCGCGCAACGCTATAATCCCCCCCCCCCCCCCCCAGCCCATTGATCTTTTGTGTGGCAGATGTTGGAATATTGAGTCTCGTTGAGATTTAAGTAAATCTCCTGACCGGACGTCTTATAGCAAAGTCTCGTTCGTCTCGTCACAAGTATTGGTTTCGTTTATGTCAAGTTTGGTGTTATTGGTCCCCCCCCCCACTCCCCCAACCCACTAGACACTTACTTCTAAAGACTTGAGATATCCGCTTTAAGTGGAGGAAAATATAGTTTTATTTACGCTATCTAATTTCCTTACTTAGGCGCAGCGTCTCCTACTAGCACAGGATCTCCTACTTGCACATAGTCCCCTACTTGAACATAGTCTCCTACTTGCCCATTTTCTTCTACTTGCACATGGTCTCCTCCTTGCACATTGTCAATATAAAATGATTAAAGCAAAGTAGGGTTAAACCTGAAAAAAGGAATACAACAAAACAACACAAAAAACAAAAAAAAAACAAAAAAACAACATAATAAAATGTAAAAATAGCACTTAGCTTAGAAGTCGTATCATTGGGCAGCAAATGAATCCTAACTGCACATGGTCTCCTACTTGCACATTGTCTCCTGATTGCACGGGGTCTCCTACTTACACAGGGTCTCCTACTTGCACATTGTCTCATACTCGCACAGAGTCTCCTACTTTGCTAATAAGTTATATAAACAGTGCATGGCTAACAGTTTTCTTCACATCTACTTGCTCTTCCAACTCAAAGATTGTAAGTGTTTTTTAGAAAGCTTAATGCCATTTGTATATCACATTTTTAGCTCCCGAAACCGCAAGTTGTGTTAGAGATTTCCGCATGTTCGTATTGAATTTAAAAAAAAAAAAAATATTGCACACTAGAAAATAAGACCCGATGTTGCCCGGGTATATAATACGTTTCTAACAGCATTAGGTTTTGCGAAATGTTTATATTATCAATGATCAATAATATATACTTATCCAACTCCATTCCAGTCCATGAACTAAGAAGAAAACATATTTTAGAAATATTGTAAAAACATATATGTTATGTTATATATAGAAATATTGTAAAAAATATATATTATATTTTATATATTCACCAACTATATATATATTCACCAACTATTTCAGAAAAAAAAAAAAAAAAAAAAAAAAAAAAAAAAAAAAAATAAAAAAAAATATTACGAACAAACGCACTTGTGATCTTTTCCTTTTAAAAACCAAAAGAATCTCATTTAACGCAGTCATCGGGAATTTAATTTGCGTGAAATCAGGGTCCATCATACTTCTTTCACATTCCCCTTGAACACCAGGGAAAATATTTTTGGAGGATCGGATTGGGGGGGGGGGGCTGAAAATTTGATAGAACATTTTATCACCTGCAACGAGACTATGTCCCAATCTCGATAGGTTGACGTGAAGTGGGTCAATTAGCCGACGAAGATTTTTTTTTCCAGCCAGACGCGAACAAAAGCGAAGTTAATATAAAAGGATTTAAAAAAAGAACAACAAAACCTAACTAATATCAAATCTATAGAAGCTTAAAGACGTGCTTGACAAAGTCTGGTAATCGGAGCAGGGCAGAAAGTGAGGTGGAAAAAAAAATCAAATTAAAATAAAATAATTAGATCTGATTTCATATCCAGATGATCGCCCCGATACGATCTGATCTATTCGGGGTCAATCCTGCTCCCCGCTACACACGTCCCTAAAAAATATCCCACACTGCCACACACACACGCCTCCACACAACTACTCGCCTACAAGCATCACTATACACCGCACTCCTGCCCACACACGTGCCCACACAACTGCCCACACACGTGCCCACACACATGCCCACACAACTGCCCACACACATGCCCACACAACTGCCCACACACATGCCCACACAACTGCCCACACACGTGCCCACACACATGCCCACACAACTGCCCACACACCTGCCCACACAACTCCCCGCACAACCGCATACCTCCCAGCACCACAACCACCGCAATCACCCCCCCCCCCCCCCCCACAACACGTTTCCCAACACGAGCACATACCTACCCAAATCACTACACACCTCCAGGTGTTGTAATGGTGTCCCCCCCCCACTCTCTCTCTCTCTACATACACGTCTCAATGAACGGACCACCTTCCATTGATCTACGTGCTGGCTGCCGGGTCTGCTTCCTAAGCGAGTCAAACAACATCTGCGCGATCTGAATGAGAGAAATATCACGATTTAGCTGTGCGTTTAAGAACTATAAATCTTATGTACGTATTCGTCTTCTCGTCACTGAAATGTAACGGTTCTTTTTGTCTTTAATACCCTTTAATTTGAACACATTGAATCAGAGGTTCTAAACTTGGGTGCGTGAGGCAGCGTCAGTGGCTGATGGAAAGGCCAGAAAATCATTTTCATTTTTACATTTTTACTAGCATTTTTGGGGGTTGGGGGGATATGTTTTTAAAATCGAGATGGGTGCTGGAATATTTTTTTTTAAAAAAAGGTAAGAGTCACTACCTTAAATATAGGAATCCATAGCCCAGCAAAAAAAAAAATAATCTCAAAACTGAGACAACGATAGGGATGGTCTGCAGTTTTAGAAAAAAAGAGAAGTGAAAAAGAGACTAAAATCTTATTCCGTAAATTTTTGGAACGCATGAACTGGGGAAATGAGACATAGAGTTTAAAAGGAGGGTTGGGGAGAGAGAGGTTGGGGTCGTCAAATTTTAGAACATTATTTTCATTGTTGCTTTGAGGTCTGGTAAATTTCAATCTTAATTCGTGACTTTTGCAAAATAGCCCCCCCCCCGCCCCATCCCCTCCCCCCCTTTTTTATCCCCTAATGGCGTTTGGCGTGCAAAGGGAAGATCTTGAGTAAAGAGAGAGTGAGAGAGAGAAGAGAGAGAGAGAGAGAGAGAGAGAGAGAGAGAGAGAGAGAGAGAGAGAGAGAGAGAGATCCATTTTTCATGTTGGTATTTGTTTGTTAGTTGGGTAAGAGGCATTCAAATGTTCACTAATATATATTCATATACAAACTATAAGCCCAACGAGTTATTAAAGCAAGAAAACGAATTTGAAACAAGTTATTGATCCTGTTTTGACACCAATAACGCATTTTAAACTTTAATTTGAGGAGGGAGTTGCATTAAATGGTTGTCTTCTAGAATGTGTTTTATTAAGCTGGGTGGCCGAGTGGTCTAAACAGAGACAACGACAAGCCTGTGGACTGGAATACACAAACCCCTAGAAAAGGCCTGGACAAGCAACAAAAACACATCGCCAGCACCCCAGGGTGGATGGCTCTCGTTAACCTTGGATGGCAACTCGTCCAATAGAAAGACAAACGCTGAAATTAAACCCGGTGATGGAGTCCCGCTGGAGGCATGACAGTGACGAAATGAAAATTCCGACAACTCCTCTGACGTGGAACGCATAAAGAGCAGAGTGAAACGCACGGCAAATCCACTTGTTGTATTCTGGCCTACTTGCAGTCGATAGCGTTTAGCTAGGACCGGTGATTTCTTTAAAACACAGAGCGTCGCCATGTCAGCGTTTCGGGGAAACGATTTCATCGGTATTTAATTTAAGTTCACATCTCAATAGTTTTAAATTTTAAAAAAAATTTCAGTGGATTCCTGTAACTTTTTTTTTAACAGCTTGCCGGGATCAGTGTTGAATGGATTTTGGAACACACGTCACTCGTGATCTAAGAACTTGTTTCTTGTCATCATATTTTAAAAAAAAAAAAAAATGTTAACCGTTAAAGTGATCATAAAAAAATAAAATAAACGTGAACTAAATTGGAGGATTTTGTTACCAAAAAAACAACAACAACAAAACAACTTTTGTTTAACTGATACTTTAAATTAAACTCTTTCTTTAGTTTCTATTTACGACCCCTCAACATTTTTTGTCATAGGTGAAAACATATATCACAAAATGATTACAGCTCCTCTCCCCACACAACCCCCCCCCCACACACTTTTTCGTTCAATATAATAGGAATAAAGGTTGTTGTTGTTTTTTTAATGTATGTAATTTTGTATAATTTATTAACGTTTTGTGCGCTCTGGCACCAAGTACCAAATCCACACAACCAATGTTAACTCTAAGGTTGGTTGGTTCGTGTGCAAAATCATACAGTTGTGTGCAAAGTTTTACAGCATCAATTTTTTTTGTGTGCAAAATGTAACAGCCCACAAACACAAACACACACTTACATGGAAATTTGCTGCGCGGTACTCAAAACTGCTGCGGCAGCGCAGCTTAAAGGGACCATTGCACACGACTAGACTCTTTTCAACTTTTTAGGCAGTAAAACTACAACGGAGTTGAGCAATAAACAATTGCGTTGGATCACATCGCGAGACGTAGGCTTTTTAAATATTTTTTTTTTTTATTTAATAAAAGAAAAATTACTTTTATGACTTTAACGTGAAAATATCGCAGGGTGGCATTAGTTAGTGGAGTTAAAGGGCAACACATAGTTGCGAGCCTATAACCTATTGAGTAACAATTTAATCTGTTATTTCCCTTTTATCATTTTTTTAATGTTTAAAAACATATTTTTAAAAATAATAAAATTCCCGTTGATCTGGAGTAAGGGAAACATGTCCCAAGAACTATTTAGGGAATTTCCCTACTTGAAAAAAAAACAACCAGATACCGTTTAAAACGAAAATGTGTAAGAAGTCAGGAAAATTTAGTTAGATAAAGTTGCACATGGTTGAATCTTTTTTTCCAATATTTAATCCAGACAAACAAGAAACCAACTTATTAAAAACCTTCAGACATTGCAAATATGTATTTTTTAATGGTGGGGATTACTTCATATAACTCAACACACCTTCTGGGTGGAAACAAATAATATCGTAACAAATTTTTTTTTTTTAAATTGTAACATTCAAAACTTATAAATTGTATAGAACAATATCCAGAAAATATAATAATTTGAATTTATTTCGAGCTTAGAATAGAAGATATAAATTTGTCGCCTACATATTTGATTTGCTGCAGACTACACATATCAATACAACAAGCTAAGAGTGTTTGTGTCCAACTGTTTTGTTGTTGTTGTTGCTGTCGATGACATTTTGGCCGGAACCTTCACTTTCTGGTGTTGTCCTTCTTCAGGTTTTCCACCACCCTTTGTATAATTCGTATTACTTCAACCTGAAATTTTAAATGGCCTTAAAATTTGCCTTCCGTCCAAGCATCTCTAAGGTAAAATATACCTCTTTAAAATAGCGTTAATTTACCATTTTCGATTTTCAATTATTGTATCTAGATTTTCTTGTTTATTGCAGACCTGTTTACCCTTGAACTCCTAAAACCGTACAACATTGTCTCAAAATCGTACACTACGATGTCTTAATAGCAAATCAATCAACACACAGTTTATATAATGAATACAATAACTACTCGGGTCACAGTGCCTAGTGGGGTCGACGTAAACTGGCGTCAAAAAAAAGCTAACTACTAAAAGTAGATGACCGACGTTTATAATACAATCTGCTCTCACTTTGTTTTTCAGACGTGTATTTGCTATTGATATTAAGTTATTATTAAGTGTATGTACAGGTCACATTATCACAGGTAAAAATAAAGTTCCTGGTGAAACTGAACGTGGTTCAAATTCGAACTAAGATCAGCACGCACAAAATGTATTTTAAAAAAGAATTACTTAACAAATGATGATATCTTTAAAAAAAAACTCACAAGTAACCCGAGGTTGTTGTTTTTAGGAAAAGCTGGTTTAAAGAAGATTTATAAAATAAGAATCAATTTCCATTAAGCATATTTCATCTAATGCAAATAACTACCACAAGCTGGGTAGTCAATGGGTGAAAGAGAGGAGTGTTGGAAACACACGGGGACATTAACAATCGTAGTCGCCGCAGTTGGTACTAACAGCCCTTGGACAAGTTCAGTTGTGCGGAGAAGTCATTTTTAACTTTCGGTATTTTGTCGGTTTCGGCCGAATGTCATTTTTAAACTTTCGATATTTTTTTCGGTTTCGGCCGAATGTCATTTTTAAACTTTCGATATTTTTTCGGTTTCGGCCGAAAGTCATTTTTAAACTTTCGGCCTATTCTCGGCTTCGGCCGAAATCAGAAAATCACTTTCGGTCGGTCTCTAATTGGTACGTTATTGACTCCAGTCTATTGGAACTTTAAACACTCCAGTCTACTTGTACGTTAAACAATCCAGTCTATTGGAACTTGAAACACTCCAGTCTATCGGCACATTAAACAATCCAGTATATTGGAACTTTAAACACTCCAGTCTATTGGCACATTAAACAATCCAGTCTACTTGTACGTTAAACAATCCAGTCTATTGGAACTTGAAACACTCCAGTCTATCGGCACATTAAACAATCCAGTATATTGGAACTTTAAACACTCCAGTCTATTGGCACATTAAACAATCCAGTCTATGGGAACTTTAAACACTCCAGTCTATTGGAACCCCTATCGATTTCAACAGCATCCTCTTCTCTGCCCTCGTGGTCAGATTCCAGGTCTGTTGGTCAAGGCCTGCCTGGCACGTGGCCAGCACACACAGGCGGTCATTAATGTTGGCCTCCAAACAAAGTCCCGTCTCACGGTTCACCAACAGCTTTTCCTATCAGAAAAAAAAATTAAATTAACAAAACATTGACAAAAACGTAATTAATTAAAATTTAAAATTGAGCTGAAGAATGTGACAACTATGTGTTAAAAATTATAAAATATTTAGAGGACAGCTTACTGAAGAAAACAAAATTAACAATTAACAAAACCATACTTTAATATAGTTAAAAGTACCATACTTTTATACAGTTAAAAGTACCATCCCTTTATTTAGTTAAAAGTACCATCCTTTTATATTGTTAAAAGAACCATACTTTTATATTGTTAAAATTACCGTACATTATTATAGTTAGAAGTACCGTACTTTATTATAGTTAGAAGTACCGTACTTTATTATAGTTAGAAGTACCGTACTTTATTATAGTTAAAAGGACCGTACTTTATTATAGTCCCAGGTAGCTGGTATCACGTCTCTCCTCCAGGAATTCTTGTGTCCTATCCGGAGCCTGTAGACTGTCCCGTTATTTAGTTTCATGGGGTGCTCGAGGGTCAAGAGGACGAAATGATGCAAGATGGATGCTATGTGCTTGTCAGCCGTGAGACGCCACTCCTGAAATGCCACACGTGCCGCTGTTAAATGTCGCACATGATTTCATGAAATGTCCCACCTGTTTTCGTATAATGCCGCATAGGATTTTGTGAAATTTCATCTTATTATGTTTTGGTGAAATATAACTGTGTGTTAACCTAGGTTTTTTTTTCCTCCTGCGTGTTGTCCAGTTATGGCATCCATCCCTTATATTGCCCTTTGCTTTTCTCAGTGATGTCATAAATTAAGTTGATGACACATGAGGCATGCTGAGCTCCTCCCCGCGCCCCCCCCCCGCCCCCAGTCATTGGTTGGGAAAGTTTGTTTACGTTTTCAAGAGGGTCTACATTTATACTACAATGAGAGAGAAATACTCTCTGGCGATTGAATTTAATAGCATTTATTTTGAGGGGGGTTTTGACGCCTTCACTTTAAATAAGGCGGTCGACTGTGACCGGCAGACCTACGAGACTTACACAGAGATACAGGGCAAGAGACCATACCCGTCTTTCTAGCTTTTTCACCTAGCGTGTGTGTTGGGGGTATATAATTAGTAATTCTGTAATAATTTTACTTTTTTTCTGTGCTGTAAGTTAAAAGATATATTATTTCAGTATATCTGATCTTGAATTTTTATATTAGAGTACATAGTATAATTAAATTTAGTATTCCTTTATATCCCTTGAACACCAGATGAAAAGGTGCTCCATAAAAGCCTGGGAGTACAGGAATACCGGGCATGCGAGGCAAGCGGAAGGATACATTCCGAAAGAGGCATCTTTTTAAAATCTTTTAATTAAATTTTTTTTTTTACCTGGTTTATATATCTGTATTTGCAAGCAGAAAGAGACACGGTAGTTGAGTAGCCCAGGCGATCAATGCACACATTCTGAGCTTCATTTCTTATCTGTGGAGCAGCAGGAGATTCAGGGAATAGATCGTAATGCTGACGGGACTCAATTCGTTTATTTTTTTTCGTTTGTTTACCTTTTACATTTTTTTTTTATGTATACAAATTTCATGAAACATCGTTGAAGTCCGCTACTACTTTCCCACTTTGTTTGAGACCAAAAAACTTCTCTTTATAATGTGTATGAGATCATGTATAGGGATTAAATGGTTACCGGAAATTTGTTTGAAAGAAATTTCGTCGACGTAAACATTGATCGACGGGACTTAGATCGAACTGAGGTTTGGTCGAATCTTTTTTGCCAGTTCACACGTTTAAAATTTTGCGTCAAATTTCTTTTTGATCGCGTTGTTTTGTTTTACTATATTGTACAGTGCGTTCAAAAAGTAATTTGACGAAAATTTGAACGTGTGAACTGACAACAAAAAAAAAAAAAAAAAAAAAAAAAAAAAAAAAAAAAAAAAAGAAGACAGATTCGACCAAACTTCCGTTCGATCAAATTTCCGTCTATTAATTTTCCGTCGACGAAATTTCTTTCAAACACATTTCCGAATACGCGATTTACTAGATACTGATCATTTTAATGGTTTATTGCAAGTTTTGCTCTACCAGGCTGGCCCCCCGAAAAGTGAGAACATCTCATAGCAAAGGGTTATTTGATATCATTGAATAAATAAAAAAAAAATGTTTTCATTTATGGCCACCGGAAATTGTCATGATAAAGACATCATTCAGTTATACAGGTACATAAGTACATCAGTAAATGTATACAGTTAACAAATGTCGATGCAATTATATTACATTGTAAGAGATGTTATCACATTTTCTTGGCCACCCTGTATATAAGCTTTATTATATAATTTACGCTATGTTTATTCAAGAATATGTTTTAGGCATATATTGTTGTTGTTTTTTGTTTTGTTGCATATACCAAACGATAAGAGAAGACGTGATTTAGGCAAGACTACCGAGCTGAAGTAAGCAATGGCCACAGCTGGCTTCACGGCGTAGTTATCAAAGGCCCCCCCCCCCCCCCCCCCCAAAGGTGACAACGGATTAAAAAGAGCTCGTAACTTCTGCATCCAAAAATAAATAAAAGATAATGACTTACCTGGCCAACGAAGAGATCCGATGTGTTCCAGGACTTTCTCAGCTCGGGGTACACGTTGCTCAGGTACCAGTCAAAGTTGTTGCAGTTCAACGACGCCCTTAGCTTCTTCCTCTCGCTGACATCGCCGGAATCTGACTGAGGTCAAACATACAAGTCGACACACAAAGCATAATGATGTGGACGCAAATCATATCGATTTAGCACAAGAGGCATAACACTATAGACAACTCTATAATATTAATTTAATTTTAGTAATTTTTTTCGTTATTTAACGGATAGTGTTAATTTTTTAATGTTTTTTTTTAAAAATTGCATTAAGTATTCAGTCCAAATTACATTTTGCGTTGTCTTCTTTTCGTTTAAAAAAATAAATAAAAAACAGAACGAAAATTACCACACAAAAAAAAAAAATTTTAAAAAAAAAGAAAAAAAAAAAGATATATAAAAAAAACCTTGATGAAATATACTTCGCCTTTTGTAAAAACTCCCCCATACTATTTCACCCGATCTTTAACATCACTGATGAGAGACTGACCAAATGTTTAAAATGACAATCGGGCTGAGCCGGATATCGCAAGACATATATCGCCCAGCACAAAAATTTTAAAATTGTATTTCTCAAAATTTAAGAGCACGGTAATGATGAATTTCAATGAATAAATTGATTGAGCCTAGCGTTACCTCATTTTTATTTTAAAAGAATTTTAATAGCAAAAATAATAATGGAAAGGTTTTCAATCCCTTCGATTATTGTTCACAATGCTGTTTACCTTTGCCAATGACACCATTTATGAGGATGCAATATGATAAATGGGCGTACATGTCACGCATGAATGATTTGAATAAACCTATAGGGTCCCCAAATTTTATTTAAAAAAAAAAAATAAGTATTACCTTAGATTAAAAAAAAAAAAGTGTTACCTTTGCCTAAGTCTAATTGTAATTCTATTTTTGTAAATATAGGACAAATTGGTCCTCATGCAGCTGTGAGACGTGTTCGCGGAGGATTAACCGTATATTATACCATGACAGCAAGACGTCGAACAATAATGAACATAAGCTTGCCGGCCCCAAAAGACAGACAGAATGACAGTCTGACGTCTGGAAGATGACCGAAAGCCTAAACCCCTTTCGGCCGAAACCGAAAAATCAACCGAAAGTTAGTTAATTTTTTTTTGGGTTTCTCTCGAAACCGAAATACGCCGAAGATGATGGCATGGCAACTTACGGCCCTGAAAACCGAAATTCGGCCGGCCCCTCATCGATGAGCACAATTTGAACACAACAGGGGAAGACAAAACCCGTCCAGGGCTACATACGATGTTATAGGCGATCTTCTCGTAGTAGAAGTGCTTGTACTCGTCCATCCAGACCTCGGCCACCCTCACGGGGTTGAGGGCGAGGTTGAACCCCTCGGGGAGGGTCGGGTTGTGAAGCCTGTACACGTGACCCACCCGTGAGCATGTGGTCACGATGAGTGACCCACCGCACATCCAGATCTGACGGAGAAATGGAAGGGTCAAGGTCATGTTTATCTGATCGGTTGTTGCCCGGAATGAAAAAAAAAGCATGGGGGGTGCGGGGGGGGGGGGTGGTTGAAAAGAAATTTATTTTACTTTATAAATTTAGAGCCATTCATGTATTTTTGGAGCCTAAGCAGCTTAGAGCCATGCAAATTTGTTGTTGACATTGGACTGACTGATTTTACAGAATAGGCCGAAAAAAAAAAATTAAACAAATTTATACAATGGAATTGGTAAAAGTGATATGTGGTGTGTATGTGTTTGTGTGTGTGTGCGTGAGTGTGTGTAAGCGTGTTCGTTTTTGTGTGTGCGTGCTCTCGCGTTTGTGGTAGCGTTTGTGTGTGTGTGGTTAAAGCTGAGTTAACCTTGTTTCCCTTCCCCCCTCTCTAGCAGTTGGATTCGAAGGGGCGTACCCGGCGTCGCAATAATAAACGAGATATTAACAGCACAGCCATGACTTGAGAAGCGTCGTGATTGTTTCGTAGTACGTTGTAGTATGGGCCGCTATCAAATTTATATTTCATTTGTGTTGTTTCTCTTTATTTGGAGGTACTTGTTAGATTTTTCTTTCATAAAACAATTTTGTCAACTCCCAAAGTCAAAGTAGATATTTAATCTACGCAGTGGCTATTTGCACCCGGGTACCGGAAGTTAGAGGTTGGGATTAAAACACTATTTAAAATATTATTGTTGAGTTCGTAAGACAAAATGAGGTATCAAATGAAAGATAATTGAATGGCCCATATGTTTGTGAACTTACTTCTTCAGTACAACTAAAATAAACTACCACAAATGATATCCGAATAGCACTGAGTCAAAATGTGACCCAGACACGCATCGCCACCATTCGGACCCAGGTCATATGGGACTCAACACCCAAAAATAATATTTTTAATAGTTTTTTATCCCAACCTCTCACTTCTGGTACCCGAGTGCGAATAGTCGCAGCCTTTAATCTATATCACAATTTAACATCATGTAATAAATCTGCTGGGTAAAAGAGCCTTGGGACATTATAATAATAATAATATAGTTCTGGGGCGGTGGCGTGCAAGGGTGGGGGGGGGGTTAGGGGGTTATCACTAATTGGGAATCATATATATAGTGCGTTACTTGAATGAGTGATATGTCCAATAGTAATAAATCTGCTGGGTAAAAGAGCCTTGGGACATTATAATAATAATAATATAGTTCTGGGGCGGTGGCGTGCAAGGGTGGGGGGGGGGGTTAGGGGGTTATCACTAATTGGGAATCATATATATAGTGCGTTACTTGAATGAGTGATTTGTCCAATAAATTTAGTAAATTTAGTTCACGAATTACGACCGCCATATTTTGGCTTGTATTTAAAAAAAAATATTCTTTTCAATTGAATTTTTTGTTGTTGTTGTTGATAAATCCTTTGTAAATTTAAAGTTGAATTAACGTTTGCTATTTGTGTGTGAGGACATTTGGCCGGGGGGGGGGTAACTTAATTCCTTCAAGAAAATAAAAGTGTATATTTACCTTGAAGGATATTTCAATATTCTCCCCTCCCCAGTACTGCAGGCCGGGGTCGTACTTGCCTAATGTCTTAAACCAGTCACGTGATATGGCGTACAGCCCGCCGGGCATCGTCGGATATCTGGAGACATTCAACGGCACGATGACGTATGCGAAACGGGCACAACCTTCTCCCGATGATAAGATAACAAATAAAAAATAATAACACAATAGCGACAGCAACAATAACAACAACAAATATAAAAGTAATTAAAAAGTTTTTAGCGTCAAATTTTGGTGTTATTGAGATTGAAAAGGGGGAATATCAACAACGCTGATGAGTAATCCATACAAACGTACCATTGAAGAGCCCATCTTCATCACAGTACTAACTGGGTGTTCCTAGTGTGGATTAAGGCGCAGAAAAAAGTCTTACGGAGTGCGCTCTTTTGAAGCGATAGCGCCAAAATTATGGAACAGTTTGGCTCAGTCTTTGAGAGGAATTGTAAATGATAAAAAAAATCATTTAAGAAAAAATTAAAAATTTGTTTGTTTAAATAGATTTCGGACGACCAGAGCGCAGTGAGCAGGATAAAGTGGCATGGATACCAGCGCGATATAAATATCATATCAAATCATATCATAACATACAGTAAACAAAGGCTAACAATACGATTTTGTGTCAATGAACAGGGACTTGTGTGTTTGGCAAAGACATACTCTTAAACCACGGATATTGTAATTTGGTTTCGCTCAAAAGTTTTGTTAAAAATGTTTCCGAAAGAAATATATCTTGTTATAAAAATTGCGAATTTTTATAATAATTTTCTGTAAATCCATATTGCGGCAATTGGATGGTGTGTGCCTCAGTGGTGGCATGTCGGCAATTATGAAGGAATTCGTGAAATGTTGTTTGATATATTTCTTTCTGTGAATGTGTGGGGTAGAAGAAAAGCATCTATGACCGTAAGAACTGCCTGGAGCCGGAGATCCTCCTTGGTAAAATGCGTATTTTTTTCCCTTATATGCACTATATAAATTTTAAAATTCATGATTTTTGATAAGTGAGCTGGTTGGTCACGAACGTTGAATTTAAGTTCTCATTGGTGTACCACAAATGATCGTCTTTCCTGTACGCGGTGCGTAAATTCGATTTTCTCATGACACGAGAACATTGTTTTGAATGTTAATTTATAGGACCAAAGTGACGCCCCCCGTTGGAGCAATAAATACCACCGATAGCGGCGCCTCTGCTAGTTTTAGAGTAATGATTTGGAAACCCTGATTCTGTATTAATACAAATTTAACTTACTGTATAAAGCCGGCTTCCTTGAAGGACGTGATGTTTCGTCGGTGAAAATAGTCCATTACAAAAACTTCCAGGTCGAGTCCCGCTATGTAGTTGTCCATTTTATCCGATTTCAGCTCAAAGGTCGTCCACTTGATCGTTAAAATGGTGGGCAGCGTAACGGTCCTGCTGTTGTTGTGGATGGGTTCCAAGAGCGGCTCCAGCCATCCTGGATAAGAGAAGGCGATGGGGGTATATTAATTTTCGGTTTGACACAAATGAGTTTTGTTGATTTTTTTGGGAGTAAACTAGGATTGGTTAACGCACGGACGCAAAGACAACGGGACGTGTTGGCAAGACGAGTGAGCAAATAAACCTGAAGGATGCGTCATGCGACCAGGGCCGGCGTTGCAGTCGGATTTCTCTATTGTGCAATGCTTAAACTTCAATGTTAGCCGGACCCGTGAATTTCGTCGTTTCCCCTTGCGTTAGGGATCTGTTGCCAGATTCAGCAATTTTTTTTTTAAAAAAAGGTCTTTTTAACTTGATCCTAAATGTGTCATCAATTTGGCTTTTTACTCCGCGTCCACCGAGTTCGAGAGGACTTGGTTAAACATTTCCATTTATCATTGAGAGCTAGCCGAATTATGGTGTAATCTGGATATCCAACCATTGAACTTATAGGCCGCTTCTTGTCTTATGTTGTGGCGACAGCTGACGTCAGGCTTGCGTACCGCTTATTGTCCGCGGATCATCGCCTTTGGAAATAAATGCTGGTCAAATCTACCGTAGTAATGATTGGGGGGGGGGGGGGGGGGGGGTGGGGGAGGGTGCCGATGAATAGATTGAAGGCAGGCGATCGAAACCACGGGCAAAGGCCATTTCCAAAAAGCTATCTATATATTTTATGAGAAAACAGGAATATTGCGTATCGTGCCTGGTTTCCCACACTTTGTTTGGAACAGTATATAATATATATATGTATATATATATATATGTATGTATGTATGTATGTATGTATGTATGTATGTATGTATGTATGTATGTATGTATGTATGTATGTATGTATGTATGTATGTATGTATGTATGTATGTATGTATGTATGTATGTATGTATGTATGCATGTATGTATGTATGTATGTATGTATGTATGTATGTATGTATGTATGTATGTATGTGAGCGTGTATGTGTATGTATATTATGTGTGTGTCAGTGCATGTGCGAATGTAAATAATCACAGTCTGAAAACTTAGAACAAAACGTGATTTTTATTTGCGAACTGATCAGGAGCGTTTTACATCGAGTAGCCAGATAAGTAATAAGAGAAAGTGGAAATAGTTGGCAAATTGTTGAATTATGGGATCAAAGGATGACCTGAAAATAGATGTACATTTAAAAAAAAATGAAACTTGACCCCACGTCATAAAACCTCTTCTTTATTTTATTTAATAATATATCATCTTTTTTTTTTACTTTTTAAGTTCAAAGAAGAAAGCCCCTCTTCCCTATTGTTTATTCTAATTTAGGCTTGCAAAGGTTCTGGTCTCTTCTTATCTGTAAATTTGGACCCGTATAGGGCCCAGTCAAAGACCAACAAGGTGACGCAAAACCTGAGACCTAAGATGGGGAAAGGGATTGGGGGGGGGGGGCAAAACTGTCCTTGACCCTCAGCATATCATGTGAAGTATAACTAAACTTAACGTGGAGCCTGCGTCTAAGTCAATGCCTCTGTCATAAGGGTCTAAGGGAAAGACTGGTGAAATACCCAGCTGTGCGACGGCACAGTACCCAGCTGTGAAACGGAACAGTACCCAGCTTTTCGACAGGCTGGTGCAAGTACCCAGCTGTGCAACGGCACAGTACCTAGTTGTGCGACGACGGCACAGTACACAGCTGTGCGACGGCACAGTACCTAGTTGTGCGACGGAACAGTACCCAGCTTTTCGACAACACAGTACCCAGCTGTGCAACGGCACAGTACCTAGCTGTGCGACGACGGCACAGTACCTAGTTGTGGCAAGTGCGCACGGGCGCTTAATTAACACTTCGCAGAGGTCAACAAATAATGTCAGAGACACTGAAGACAGCTGGACCATTGAATACCCTCCGAAAGGTAGGAGCTTCTGCCCAGGTAATGGACCCTCACCTAGAGGTATCGCCAGTTCCCTTTACGATTGGGGAATTGCAAACGGCTCTATGAAAGTGCAGAACGGGAAAAGCACCAGGCTCTGATAAGGTCTGCCATGAGCTGCTTACTCATTTGGGAGTCAAAGTGAGACAGACGCTTTTAAACCTTAATCAACAAAGGCTTGACCACAGGCATCCTTCCGAAAGCATGGAAACTGGCAATGAATCAAATAATTGTCTAAATCCCAAAGATGGCTCGCCGGTCGGATTACCCTCGAGCTGTCTGGTATTTTCTCTCACTATTGTGAGAAAAGTAGCGTAACGGAGTACACACGGGGTTATAGTGGTTCTTGGAAAGAGCCAAGGGCATTCCAACCAGCCAAGGGCATTCGGGTTATCCATTGGCATTCGGACCAGCCAAGTGCATTCCGACAAACCAAGGCGGCCTCCGCAAGGGGAGCAGCCCCACAGATCAAGGGCTACATTTTATCAAAACCAAAACGAATGAAGAGTATCATTTTACAATCGCTTGACAGCATTATCCTACAATCTCTACCGTGCTTTCTTGCCACCAAGGCGCTGCTGTCTAGATAATGAATATTAAGTATTACCATTAAGACATTCGACGTGCGAATCAAAGAAGACGACAATCTTCGCCCTGGCGAGCTCAAACACAACATTCCTGGCTCTGATCAGCCCCAAGCGTTCAGTCGTCCTATACAGGCGGACCTTCTCCAGTGGTTTGATGTACGCCTCCAACGGCTGCTTCAGGTGGTCTGGTGTGGGGGAGAGAGACACATTATTAGAAGATAACAATATATTATATTGATGTCAGGCTTACGTGCAATGGCTTAGGAAAGGGGGTGCGGAGGTTGCGGTCCGCCCAGGGTGGCACCGACCCGAGCGACGCCACTGTTTTACGTGCGTGAAGTTTACAAATTCTTCGTGCGTCTTGAAGATAAATGAAAGATGATTTTTTAAAACATAAAAATCGGTTGCTGAAAGAGCTTATAGAGAAATATCAAATGCAACATGAATGATCAAATATATTAGTTGTGACTAGGCGTTTAAACAGAGCAATTATCTCAAACCTGTGCGACTTTTTAAACGCTTTTAAATTCTTACTAAACCCCGAATGCTTTAATAGGTTGTTGTTGTTTTTCTTAAAATATTGAAAGTACAAAGTATAAATGTATTAAATCGTGCAATCTTTGTCCACTGTACGCAGCGGCTTACTAACGTTGGCTTAAATATTAAGATGTCGATATGGAACAATATTTGTCAAACTTAGAGACTTGATTTAAGACCTTTTTTTAATTTTTAAAATCTCATTCTGACCAAGTTTTGAGAAAACTTACGTGCACCACTGAACTAGTCAAACTTCAGTTCAAAACGTTTCATCTAAATATGTAAGTGAATTAGAGTTGAGAATTCCACCAATTAAATGTGTTACTGACGTAGGTTCAAGAATTCCACCAATTTAAAAGGCCTGTATTACTGACCTAGGTCCGAGTAATCGTCCAGAAGAATGATCTCCTCCAAAAGGTGGGGCGGCGACCTGTCTATGATGCTATGAATAGTCCTGAGCAACGTCGTCCAGGCCTCGTTGTAGAACACGATCAGAACTGAGGCTGGGGGCAAGGGAGGATAACTCTCCTTGCATCTAATTGTCAGATATGCATGATTGAACAATTTAATGACTGCATTACATTATACAAAAATAACAACCTCAACATTTGATAAACACGCACTGACACTATTTGAAATATAAAGTGTTATTTGTGTGTGTGTGTCCTTGTGTGTGTTTGTGTTCTCTTTGAAATGAACATGTTAACAGTCTCTTACGTCAGTACATTTTCTAGTAAGTACTCACCCTGGAGGTCTCAAGTCTGGTAGGGACACTACACATGTTGAGGTAAGTACTCACCCTGGAGGTCTCAAGTCTCGGGGGACACTACACATGTTTAGGTAAGTACTCACCCTGAAGGTCTCAAGTCTGTGAGGGACACTACACATGTTTAGGTAAGAACTTACCCTGACGGTCTCAAGTCTCGTGGGGACACTACACATGTTGTGGTAAGTACTTACCCTAAAGGTCTCAAGTCTGTGAGGGACACTACACATGTTGAGGTAAGTACTCACCCTGAAGGTCTCAAGTCTCTGGAGGACACTACAGATGTTGAGGTAAGTACTCACCCTGAAGGTCTCAGGTCTGGGAGGGATCTGTGTACCGCGATGTCTCTGCTGATGTACTCCCTGAAATGGTGACGTTTGGTGTCCACTAAGTTCAGCTTATCTTCCTCAGACGAAAAATTTCTCCATCGGCCACCCTCATAAGGTTGACCCATTTCACCTGTTAGTAGCACAAATTTGACCCATTTCACCTGTTAGTAGCACAAATTTGACCCATTTCACCTGTTAGTAGCTCAAATTTGACCCATTTCACCTGTTAGTAGCACAAATTTGACCCATTTCACCTGTTAGTAGCACAAATTTGACCCATTTCACCAGATCTTAGCAATAAAGTTACCCTTTTCACCAGTTGGTATCACAAATTTGACCTATTTCAATTATTCGTAGCACAAATTTGACCTATTTCACCTGTTAGAAGCATACATTTGACTCATTTGTTGTTAGAATCACCATTCGACCCGTTTTACCTATTAGTAGCACCAAAATTGTCACTTTATTTTACCGGATTAAAACAAAGTATGTTTAAAATAGAATCATTGTCGGTGTGAGCAATAATAGTCATAAGCTCTCTCTGTCTCCTTGCCGCTATTAAAACAAAGTATGTTTAAAATAGAATCATTGTCGGTGTGAGCAATAATAGTCATAAGCTCTCTCTGTCTCCTTGCCGCTATTAAAACAAAGTATGTTTAAAATAGAATCATTGTCGGTGTGAGCAATAATAGTCATAAGCTCTCTCTCTCTCCTTGCCGCTACTAAAACAAAATAAACAATTCTTTTTTTTTAGCCATTCATTTTTTTTTTAAATATTAAGTTCTTATAGAGTGAATTTCGGTCTCAGCAAATGACGTTTATTACGAGCCAATCAAATCATACAAAAAAATAGCACGAGCCACACTCAAAAATTAAAAAAAAAAAATATTATTCCAATTACAGAATGGTATCAACAATCAACAACGATAGCAAGATCAACCATAAAAACAACAGCAAAGCTACTAACCTGGGTCACCCGGCTTCCCGAATTCAATAAAAGGGGGGTAACTGACATTTTCGTAAACTTGCTTTTTATCAACTTCCACAATTGTCAGTCCGTCCACTGAGTGTCGCTCACCCACAGAACGGCTCGAATACAGCTGGATATCTCTCCAGGCATACCCGACCCCAGCATGGACCTGGTCACCAACTGTGTGAAATCTTTGTGCTATGAACCGAAATTCCCCGTAAAGGTAAACCACAGAAATCCACACGAGGACCACAGTGCAAGCGGCCAGTGTCCACTTCCTCAAAAGCCGATACGCCATCGTGGTGCTAAGTTATAATATATTTTGAAATCTCTTCTCTCGGTTAAATGACTGAGGTGTTTTCAGATGTGAATGTTGTCTTCACGTTAAAAAAAAACAAACTTAGCAGCCATATTCATTCAATTCAATTGTTGTTAAAAGCGTGTTCAAATAGCGATTAAGGCAGAGGCGGACACCACGATACTAATAATCGCTAAACTAACTATTATTGTTATCAGCAGGGATTCATAAACTTTGCTGAGCCAGGGCCATTTAATGTAATGTTCGCCCCCCCCCCCATCTTTTCCCCCATGCGAAGATGACCAATAATTGAGTAGCAGCCTTGACTTGAGCTGTAATTTGTTTAAAGTGAGGGAAAGTTGCTCAATTCGTCAGCCTCACTCGGTTGTTGATCAGCAGAGAGTCTTGCATGTTTCACTGTGCCATTTATGCGTTCCACGTCGCAGGCGTTGTAGAAAGTTTCATTGGGTCAATGTCATACCGCCTACGGGACTCCAACTTTTGATTCCAAAGTCTCTTAATTGAGTTGCCACCCAAGGTGAACGAGTCCCATCCACCCCGGGTTGCTGGCGTTGTTTTATGCTCGTCTTGGCTTTCGCTTGGGATTGAGTTCCAGTCCACCAGCTTGTGATTGACTCAGTTTAGACGGCTCGGCTCATTCCTTGCAGGTTTATATTCACGTTGCTAGTACTGGAGTTTACTGACAAAGGGCGTGTGAAATGTGTCAACGCGCGACAAAGAAATCGTTGCAAATTTTGCAAACCACAACGTTTACGCCCCTGGAAGGTGACAGCTTGATGATATTGAGCCATGGGCGCCATCCTTGACTTTAATCCCAGTGTGCCGAGGTAGGCGGGGGAAAAAATCGAAATCAGCACATCTGGAAAGGGAGCATGTTTGGAGTGTTTCTTTTACAGAATCGCGAACATTAAAATGTATTATTTTTTAAAAAAAATATGCATGATTTTATATAGAGGTTGGCCTCGTGTCTCGCCTGTTTGCCTAGGTCAAGTATTGATCATTGCCTTAAAGGTGCAGTCAACCATTCACCCATTTGATCACTTCTACCGAAATGTGTTCAGTTTACATATATTTTTTTAAAGCCCATTTGTATATTTGGGGATAACGCCATATTAATGATATTACAAGGGTGGACACACGCAAGGTCAACAGATGCCGCTTGACGATCATTCGCAATTTTTTAGGGAACCGAATCATGTTTTTACGGAAATAAAATTAAACACATTAATTTTTTTTAAAAGTAACTCTATCTAAATGAATTCAGACGCCTATACGAGTATTAAGCTTTACAATATATATTCTAAAAGAGAGAATGAAACTGAGCAATTATTCCACGTAGATGTAAGCCATTTTCATCAGAATTTTACGTTTAAACTGTTGAAACGGTTGATTTTCTTAACTTTTATGCAGACGAAATGAGACAGCGTGGCTCCCAAAGAGACAAGACACAGTGGTCGTTAATAAAGCACGTCACTCCCCGGAGTTGGGGGGGGGGGTCTAAAAAAGGTGAAACAATTTGTGACACGGGGGCTGTGGTGGTCAAAGATCTCGCATGACGTTACACATTTTTTTTTATTGCTTTTATCATACACATTTAGCCTGAAATTGACAGTGCTGTTGATTGTTGATCTTACTGTTGTGGTAATGAATATATTCGGACAGAAGATTTAACTTTTATAAATTTAATAGTTTCATAGTGAAGTGTGTTTGAGATTAAACTACAATTAGTTATTAAATTTTCAAACAATTTTTAGTTTGTAAGTGTGACCTACGTTAGCTGTGTGTGTAGGGGGTGGGGCTGGGATCTGATATTTGTGATTGTGACAGATTAGGGGGAGTGAGGGGGTGAAAATGGACGGCCCCACAGGAGCGTAAACTGAAAACATGGGTCATCCATTAATTACGTCAAAAATTACTTTTTAACCCCCCTTTTGTCAACAACTGTCAAACTTTCCTTGACCCCCCCCCAAGTAATTATGTCAACATTTTATACCCCCCCCCCAAACCAAAAGAATAATAAAAAAATAAAATTGAATTTTAATATAAATAAATATATAAATACATTTTACTTTGTGCTGATCTATTTAAATGACGTATAAAATTGTAGGAAAAAGATTTTATTTCATCTTAAGCTTGTTAATCAACAAGTTAAAAAGTTTGTACACTTAAATTTTATAACGCAGAATAAATTAAAAGTTCGTTAAAGACTAAGTGTAATTGTTTTTTTTAAGTGCAAATATGATTATTGACAGCATAACTGATAATTCTTTGCAAAGCTTCCAGCGGCTTTTCATCTTGCGGAAATGCTAAACCTGAACAGACAAAATCATCCTCATCTAAGACTTTTTCCTTTAAATAGATTTTAGTGCATAGACCGATGTCAGAATGCTAAAATCGCATGGACACAGGCGTTGTAAAAGTACTCAATCATCACCATTCAGTACTTAAAATAGAAGCATTGTCAGTATGAGCAATAACTGCCATAAGCTCTTTCTGCTCCTGGCAGCTATTCGCATTTTTTTTTTTTTTTTGAGGAGCAGGTGGTAATTTCTTATGCTTAAGAGTACATTTTCGATGCCGTCCAACATGCTTCTTCAACATTACTAATGATGCAAATTAGATGTTACAGAGTTTTCACATCTGTTCAAGCAGTGATGCTATTATTGTTACTCATTTTACTTTCCCCTAATTCTCAAAATATCCGATTCTTACTCTACCAATTTCATTTATCTTGACTGCACATGACACTTGAACCTTGTCCTTGTTCCATACCTGCAACGTGATCGCAAACATATAAACCTAGTCATTTGCGACAAACAGAATTTTCAGGTGAAGGGAGGCCGACTTTTGACCTCTCTTGCACTAACAAAATGTGCTAACATTGAGACCAGTCATCTGCAGTGCACAGACAGACACGCATTAAATAAATCTTATATTATTAAAAACCTAAAAATTACATGACTATTTACACTCATTAAATTTTTTAAAATAATGTAATAACAATTCAATTTTTAAGATAAAAATTTTATTAGTGAAAACATGATTGTTGACGTCAATTAATCTAGACACCCCCTCCCCCTTGCCAACAATTGTTATTTTTCACACCCCTTCCCCTATTTTGTTGACATAATTAATGGACGCCTCCACAATCTGAATTTGCCAAATAGAATAACCAACTTACCAGAATAAATGAACAAAGTTTTTTTTTTTTTTATTAAAACACTAAGTTAAAAGTAAAACCAATGCTGAATCTGGTTTACGGAACTGAGTTTAAATTTTTAATAGATATCTACATTAAATTTATAAAACTACCCGACAACCTTAAAATGTTCTAAAATGTTTCACAACTGATTTTTTGCTCATCTATATCATTGATGATCACGTGATCTATATCATTGATGATCACGTGTCCATAATATGTAAATGCGATTAAACGCTTGCAAACATCGAGGTGATCTGCAGTAGTGCAGAGATCGAGCCGAAGTCTTGTCTTTGGTACAAGCAAAGATTACATTCACGGGATCTAACTTCGTTGTTTTGTTGATAGAGACATTAAACCTGATTAGTTACCTTGTCTTAAAGAAAAAAAAGAAAAAGATGAATAAAAGATCAAATAAAGTAAGTAAAAAAAATAAATAAATAAATAAATAAAACACCAACCATAGAGATGTGATAAAATTTTACATTTTGCTTACGAAATGGCTTCCCAATACTCCCAAGATAACAAAATAAGATATAGAGAAGTAGGTAAGCTAATCTGATGGCAAGAATTTTTTACAAAATGTCGTTGGGAACTGATCTATTCACTACTACATGATGCAAAGCAACGGAAATAAAAGTAGCTATCAGACGATCCCGGCGGTTATATGGTCGATGGGCGTCAAGTTGGTCTTTGAGATCAGTCTGGTACAATCGAAATCAAGGGCCACATCCCCTTTGAAAGAACAGACTGAATGGACGTTCAGCAGCAGCGCCGTACGTCCCCGCGCAGGGCCACACCGTGGTGCGTCCATCTTCTGAGTAATGTAGTGTAAAATGGCGTATCGGTCAATTCCCGACGTAACACCTTTTCCCATCCCAGATACTTTCCTTGGACCACCCGGATCTCCGGATCTAGACATTTCCCAACGCCAAAAAATTCGTTTTTTCAATCCCACACAATCTCAGGAACATATCTACCCCCCCCCCCCCCCNNNNCAAAAAAAAAAAACAACAAACAAAAACAACAACAACAACAACAACTACTACATTTCACAACCTCCTTCATATTTACGACATCGCACATCTTAGGACAAACAACATCGCATTTAGACATTAAAGTCAAACGGATCAAAAGACGAGACGGGTCATTTTATTATTCCCTGAATGCCTGAATGATTATTTACTCGTATTCGACTTGGCTGTACTAAAAAACGTTTTCTGTATCCTATTAAACATAGAGCGGTAGACATCAAAAGGCGGCTTTTGACAGGTACTTATCTTTTGATGACATCAGGATGACACACATCATTTTGATAGAATTAAAAAATTTAAAAAAAAAAACAACAAAAAAACATTTATTAATGAACTAGTTTAAACAAATATTTGTTTAAAACAAAAATACTTAAAATATAAAAGAAATTATTACTTTTTTTATTAAGAACTAAGAATAAATTGTTGTTATGATGCCAACCACTCAAGTGTACAATGAGGAAAAATTAAATTCAAGTATGTGCCAACATGCAAATCGACCCCCTTGTTTGGCCTAGAAGCCACTCGACCCCACTACTGACTGGTCTGTTCATTACATGGATTCCTCTGTGATGTTCGCCCCCCCCCCCTACGGCCTTTGTTAAGTCCATAAGGTTAGGTTAACAATAAACATTGCCAGGAGTGCGCCATGGCTAAGATTACAGCTATCATTTTTCAAAGACTTCTAGCCGGGTCTATACATTTTAACAACAGTTTGTCGCGAGGCGCAAATATGAATTATTAAATGAAATTCTGTTGAGTCAGCATGACATATTGATCGAAAACCGAGTCTGTGATCGTTATAAAAAGAATTATTCTTCAATTTTAACGTCCCCCCCCCCCCCCC